TTCCAACTCCCGAGAACACATCACCCCCTGTCTTCCAAAAACTGCACTGACTCACACCGCATAGGATTCAAAATCCTCCTGATCACCCTCAAATCACTTAACTACCTGGCCGCCACCTACCTCACAGACCTGCTCCACCACTTCATCCCCAGAGGGAAATCTTGCCCTATGCCCTACTAGACAGCAGTTTTCATATAACATGGAAATTAATCAATGATAAACAAAGGGCAAAAGACAGGGCAAATAGAGATAAAGAGATTTAAAGGATGGATAAAGATGTTAACGTAGGCTGAATAAAAAGACACCTACCTCTTGCGTGAAGTAGGGACCAAAATTCAAAATATATAACTGAGTGGTGAAATCCAACAAGAGACACTGAAGCAAATACAAAGTATATTGTGTGTTTATGTAATAAAAAGAAGTGGAAAATTTTATTCACATATTTGGTTATGTTACACATTATTCATTACACCAACTCTGTTCTGCTTAACCCTTGTGTAACGCTGTGGCTAAAATCAGCCACTAGGGGCAAAATTTAGAGAGGGTTTAAGAGAGGGCAACAACAGTGTTTTTAGTTTTTTTTATTTTTTATTTTTTATTTTTGTTTGGTTTTAAACAACAACAAATCACAGTAAAACATCAACATTTTAACTATAACATTTCAAACAGTTTGTACAATCTTTGCAAAGTTGGCAGAAATCGTTTATATCCGACATCTTCTGCGGATCTAGACGATTTCTGCCGACTTTGCAAAGTCAACTGCAGAATTTACAGCGTTCTGAATGAACGGGGCTTTGAAAAGTCCCGCAGCATGTGTTAGATGTCACCATCTACACGTGGACCAATCAGGGGCTGCCTTTCCCTGTTGTCCGGGGAACAGTGGAAACACAGTCACTGATTGGCCCGGTTATTTTCTGATCGCTGATACACGCTCCCAATAGGCTGAAGTCCAGACTGTTGTGGGAAGGAATGGCAAGTGATTCACGCAACAGGATGGCCCAGCCAGGCTAGGGAGGGACTGCTGTGACACGCGGGGACTGGGCCGCCTGTGGGTGCTGTGCATAGACTGTAGATAGAATGGACAGAGTCTGCCTTCTCACTGGGTAAAGCCACTCCACACGCTGTTTGAGCGGAGCGTCATCACAGTGACTCTCTGCGACTGCACGGCCGAATGCGTGCATCGCTACTGCGCAGCGCTGGTTTCAGGAAATGAAGAAAAATCCCGGAAATATCAAGAGCTATTTGGCTTCAAATCCATATACAGGTGGTAGGCTGAACCAAGTTGTCCATAGTATATACAGTCTTTGGTGCTGTGAGATGGGGGAGAGGCTCACGGCAGCACACGCTGTTTGTTGAGAAGAGCAGGTGATATGTGCTTGAACGTCAGAGTCTCTAATGACACCACAAAAAGTTGCTAGATTTGTCGCTAGTCGCTTTTTTGAATATTAGTCGCTAGAGGTGTCTGAAAACTTGCAAATACAGTATAGCGACTAAGTCGCTAAGTCTTTTTTTCTGTACAGCTCCATTTTTAAAAGTCATTAGGGGGTTCATGTTTTCTATGATTAACACTTGATATAGCCTATGGGCGTATGAAGATTGCATAGCTTACCTGGGGGATATGCCGCGTACATGTTGGTGTAAATAATGTGGAATTACCAAGAGCTTTTTTTTTTTTTCCCTGACTTTATTGACATGGCAGGAATTAAATAAAAATACAAAATGAAGAACAGTATAATGCCAGGCGGCCACAGTATACAAATAGAAAACAAAGCATTGTTATTAGTTCAGTTCAATAAAATATTTTATAAAATGCCTAATTCTGTGGTTTTAGTAGCTTTTTTGTTTGATTGTTTGAGCTCCTTCTCCAAAATTAAAAATGATGGGTTGTGATCAGCGAATTTGGATTTGTGTATGTGGTATTTTGCAAGTAGAACAAGCGAGTTGATGATGTAATACTGATCTTTTGCAGGATAGCAGTGGAACCCAAACAGCACAGTCATAATAGTAAGAGACACACCAGACAAGATATTCTGGGAAATGAATATACAAACCTCTTGCCAGAAAACAGATGAAAAAGGACAGGACCAGAACAGATGATAAAGATCTTCTTCACATTGTTTGCAGAATGAGCAGACAACAACAGTGTCTTTTTTGTATCTACGTAAATATAATTGGCGGGGATAAATTCTATGGATCATTTTAAAAGAAACTTCTTTAATCTTGTTTATAATCAGAAATTTAGAAGGAAGGCACCATACTTACCAGTTCAAGTCTGGAGTATGGCTATTCCAGTGAGAAATTACATTTGGAACAGAGATCAAGTCCTTTTGAAATAAAGCACTTATATTACAGTTTTTTTTACTTTTCTTAGTAGTGACACTAGGGTCTAATTTCTAAAAAGACAGATCAGATGTAATGGAGCTTTTTAGTGGCATAATAACACCGGAAGGAATAGCGTCAAAAACAACAGCACATTCCTTTGGAGATATGGGAATACTGTACTTTTTGAGAAATTCAGAGTAAGACAATAAAAAACCATTAGAATTGAGAAGCTGCTTGACTAAATAGATACCATGGTCAAACCAGTTTTCCAAAAATAAAGATTTCCGTTTGTATAATACATCTCTGTTGTGCCTTACTGAGAGCTTTTCGGCTTCAAATCTGTATACTGGCGGAAGACGGGACCAAGTTGTCCATAGTATATACAGTCTATGCTGGCCACCACAGAAATGTTACCAGGGAGAGCCAGCAACAACCGACTTGAACTGGCTGATGAATTAAGAAGTGAACAGGTAACACTCAGTGAGGTCCCAAGTCAAGTGCAGCAGTGAGTGTTCCTGCTACTTAAAACAAAGTTATCAACACAGTAACATTTAAATTTTACTGATAGAAAACACTTGAGCCCAGACTTCTTGAATCACTGGTAAGTTATTTGCCTAACTTATCAATGATCCTACTAACTCTACATACTCAGCTGAGTAAATGAGAGGTTAGGTTCAGTGACTGCACTGGTTGTGTTAAGGTCTAGCAGATTAAAGTCAGGACTCATTTGTCCTTTGAGGGGACTTCATTTGGTCACTTCAAGCCTGAGTATGTTTAAAATGGCTGTTCCTTACTGTACAGTTATCAAGAACAGAGAAAGGCACTTGCACACATCAGAGAGATGACACGAGTCAGACATCAGGTATGCGTCTTAAGTTTTCACTTCGGGCTGAAAGGTGTGCCTCACACAATGTGCCAATAAGAGTCAGTCTTTGTTTGAACCGGTAAGTGGTTTGGATTCTGCATGCTCGTGCATCAATACATTGGGCTAAGAGGCTTGTATTACTGATGGAACTCTATGTCAACAGTTCTGTGAAACTGAGGTGCATTTCACACTTCATGCACATCACTTTTGGTGTTCCTGTGCACCTAGGAATGCTGCATTTTTCCTTGTTGCCATACATTGTTGGCCAATGTGGTGTATTGTCCAACCAGATATCCTGATAAGGATTGGGGGCAATGGGTCCCTGCTTCTCCGTCTTCTTCTCATACTTTTGTGCAATCCCACCACTAATTTACCTGCTCTTTTAGCTTTCTTTTTTTTCTTTTTTTTGGGGGGGGGGGTGTCTATTAAAACATGGATATTAGACATTTACTCAGCTTTTTTTATTTCTACTTTTTTACTCACTTTATTAACTGATCTGGATTATTTTAGATTGGAAAGTGGAGGAGTCAACTTAGTGTGCAATAAGGTTCAGCAGTGACTGGAGACACAGAGGAGATCCTTTAAATCTGTTGTAAAACCAACTGTGGTGAGACGCCTCTTCTTCCTGTTTTATTTTGGTTAAACGTCCTTGTGTTCCTGGTCTGGCTTGACTGTTGTTTCAGTGCATCCAGTTGTTCCTGCTTCCCTCTCCGCATTCACCCCTCGTGCTTGGACTCCCGTGGCTGCAGACCCACAATCTCCAAATCAACTGGTCCACAGCTTCAATCTCCGCCTGGAGTCCTCACTGCCACTCTCATTGCCTCCGCTCCGCCCCTGTGCTCAAACACCCGGATCCCTCTCTCCAAATCGTGGTGGAGGTCGACGCCTTGAACTCCGGAATGGGGGCCGTCCTCTCACAGGGGGATCCCGAGACCCAGAAGCTCCATCCTTGTGCCTACTTCTCCCGGAAATTCTCACCCACCGAACAAAAGTATGATGTGGGAGACCGTGAGTTGCTGGCTGTTGCGTGGGCACTCCAAGAATGGAGACACTTGCTGGAAGGAGCACAACACCCATTCCTCATCTGGACTGACCTGAAGAACCTTCAGCACCTCCGTTCCGCTCGACGCCTCAACTCCAAGCAAGCCCGCTGGTCCCTCTTCCTCCACAGATTCACCTTCACCCTCTCCTATCGTCCCGGCTCCCGCAACCTCAAACCTGACGCTGTATCCCGGATCTACTCCTCGGCTACCTCTGACCCCAGAGAACCGGACACCATCCTCCCTGCCTCCTGTGTCGTCGGCTCTGCCTCTTGGGAAATCGACACCATTGTGGACAAGGCCCTCCGGAAGCACCCAGACCCCGGAACCGGCCCTCCTGACAGAAAGTTCGTCCCTGAGGTTGCACGTTCCCAGGTCCTACAGTGGGGGCACTCCTCTAAACTCACCTGCCACCCCGGATTTCAGCGCACCCTCCAATTCCTTTAGCAGCAGTTCTGGTGGCCGGGGACGTACAGGCGTTTGTTGCCGCCTGCTCCGTCTGTGCCCGAGGTAAAGCCTCCCACCAACGTCTGGCTGGCTTGCTGCATCCCCTGCCTGTGCCCTCATGCCCTTGGTCTCATATAGCTCTAGATTTCGTCACTGGTCTCCCCCCTTCTGAAGGTAACAGTCATACTCACCACCATAGACAGGTTTTCCAAGTGGTATTCCCCTTGACATAGTGTCAGATCGTGGTCCCCAGTTCTCCTCCCAGGTCTGGAAAGCTTTCTGCCAGGCAGTGGGTGAGGCAGCTAGCCTCTCCTCGGGCTACTACCCGCAGACGAACGGCCAGATGGAGCAGGCCAATCAAAACCCAGAGTCGGCTTTATGGTGTGTTGCGGCCCATCATCCAGCATCCTGGAGTACACACCTCCCATGGATCCAGTATGCCCATAACTCCCTCACCTCCCTGGCCACAGGTATGTTTCCCTTCATGTGCTGTTTTGGGTAATCTTAAATTAATCAATCTCATATCTCAAGCTGAAATTCTTATTTCAGGGACTCCATTTCTGGAAGAACAATAACAGACACGAACTTAGAAAAATAATGATCAGTTCATTACAGGGTAAATACTGATACAACACACGTGCAATAAATGATAAGATAATGAGGATAGATAATAACAGATGAATGAAAGATTCTGAGTCAGACTACGATTACTAGTTAATTAAAGTGAGTGAATATGCTCTAACTAACATATTAACCTACATTAACTTTGGTGTAAAGATAAATTTGGATGTGGTTATTTGAATTATGAAGCATGAGACAGCATCAGCCCTGTTTGGAGTTCTGGAGGTTTGGATAGTTAAGTGAGGCTGGTCTTTGGAGAGGATGAAGCAGGTTCCGAAGGTCCAGGCTACCAGTTTGAGAGGTTCAGCTCTGAAGAGGACCAAAGTCAGACAAAGGACAGGCCAGGAGTCACAGCACACAGGCCTGAATGCAAAAACCAGCGTGTTATGTATCCTTTGGATGCTCCTTTAGTCTCACTTAATCTTGAATTGCTATGTGCACAAAAAGTTGTAGTTTCACAACTTGAACTAAGACGATGTTAAAAAAAAATCAAACAACGTGAATAAACACATGGCACAAAACTTAAAGACTAAGAAAAAAAGTAAGTCAAAGAGAAAACAAGCTAAGAGGGAACTTAACAAGAGGGAAAAGCGAGAGGCAAGAGGGCGAGAGGAAAAAAAAATTAAGAGGGAGAGCACCCCAACTTTACTGGCTTTATCCTCTTCAAACTGGGAGTGTCTCTAAGGTGTGAGGAGACAAAGGAGGGGGTCCTGATCTCCAGCTGCAGCTCCCTGAGAGGAGACTTTCAAGAGCCCTGATTGTTTGATCCAACTTATACTTTGGCTAGTAAACGGGTCAGATCGAATATTCACTCACTATGATTAATGTTAAGGAATGCTTGGTTCATAATAAAGGATCTGATGCTAAACACATATAAAGAATTGTAAAATCACATTAACGAACATTCTCATTATGCTTTGAGTATCACTTTTCAAAGAACATTGATCATGTTAAATTACTCTGAGATGAAACAGATAGTAACACAGAAACTGTGAATAACACAAGGGTAAACAAATGTAAATGAACTTCATAACAGTTAATCGTGGATTCTACAAACCAACATTCATATTATTAACTAACAGTATAACTACCTTATGGTCAACAAAGCTAAACAAATGATTAAGAGATAAACTAAACATTTCTACACTATTCCTACAAGAATAGGTTTGTAATTCAAACATAATAACTTCAGCTCTTAAAAGTTCATGAAACAGTTTGGAAAGCTGTTAATCTCAAGGAACTTTCGGACTGAAGGATTTATTGATTCAGTGTGAGATCTTGGCTTGTGAACATGATAGGCAGATGGGACAAAGACTGTTTTACTGCACATGTTGAGCACTGACAGAAGATCATGGTGTAGTGTCCATCCAACCTGTAATTGAACTAGTTGTAGTTATTCTCTTTGGACTGTACTCACAGAGAGCACAGGGAAGATCAACCAAATTTAGGATTTATGGCTGAGCTGGTAAACCTGGCACTTCCTAGTCAAGGTGTGATGACAGATGTTTATCTGATCTATCTGATCGAGTGGTCCTGCAGTTCTTTCCTGCTGGCCATAAACAGTGTCCGACTGACCATTTTGCACAGATTGCAATTGGCTGTTGAACTGTTTTCACTATCTAGGTCAAAATATTTGATACTGCTTATGTTTCAAACATTCAATTACCACATTTGCCCCATGACAGTTTCTGACAGTAAAGAATGCGAAAATAAACAGGCCCATGCATGGATGCAACAGATGTGAAACCGATAAGCAGAAAAGGGGAGAGAGAAGAGTTCAAAATGCCAATGTTTAGTTGTTGTTTTTTTTTTACTTTGCTGGGACTAGAATTAATTTGTTTAATATCTTTTAAACTAAATGGTTTGTGGAACAGTACTGCTGCAGATGTCATATTGTTTATGGTCATTAGCTCAGCTTCAGTTGAAACTTGGAGAGGTTATTTTACTCTGTGATAATTAAAAGAATGTCTTTGACAGGATGAGTTATTTTGTGGTATACACCAAGGTGTGTTTATCTTTGTTTGCATGATTTGCTTTGAAAACTCAACACTGCTCCTGCATCGCATCGCAAATGAACACTAATCCACGTTCAAATAATTTTATACATGTGCAATCTGGAATTTGTTTTACTTTGACATGAACAAATCTGTGTTTAGTTGAAGGTATTTTAATATGTTTGTTTTTTGGTGTAATTAGTACTAATGTTTCTCAAATTTTCCTCCATTTAAAGGACATCATGTTTAACAGGCCAAAAAAATGTATTACGAGATACATTTAAAGAAATCAGGTTACAGCAGAAAAAAAGACAGCTTTGGTGAAACATTGTTCAAGTTGTAGTTGACATTAAAACAAGGTCAATTTTCATTTGCACTATAATAGCATTAGCTGAAGTAAGATTGCACAGTGTCAAGTTACTTCCCTCAAATTGTTCTGATACTTAAGCTAAAATGCATTAATAATTCGTAAAAAAAGCAGTCATCAAGGGTTGTTTTCAGCAGCACTTGGTGTTTCCTGGACACCAAAAATTCATTTATCTTGAAATGGGTTTTTGAGGGTCAATCAAAATAGAAACAAAACAGATCATCACTCTTTTATTGACAGATTTTTAGGTGAAAGAAACTAGTTGGGTGAACAGCTACTAAAGAACAAGGACAGTGTGTTCTCAGTTTTTGCCAACTGGGACGGAGACACCCTACATGACAAATTCAAGAACAGTCATTGAACTTATTTTTAGATGGTTAATCACCTCTGAGATCTGTTGTGCCATGACTCATGATTCTGATAACCTAGAGCAAAAAGCCTCAGTAACACAGAGCATACAGGAGAAAAACAACCAAGTCTGATCAGGGGATAAAATATTTTTCTCTGACTGTGAAAACTTGCACAACTGGGAAGAGTTATGAAAGATCTATTCTTTATAATCTGGTGTTGCTTTAACCTGATGGATGATTTCTGTCAGCGCAATGAATAAGGAGTTACATTCCTTAATGAGCAAAAATTAAGTTTATACCTGTTTTTATGACACACTATTTCCAAACTTTGGTAATTTCAGTCAAGAGTGATAGTGTCAAAGACTGTAATGTCTGTACCTTATTCTGCTGTTATTGGCATACAAGGTTAGCCTGTCTTAAAGAAATATGCACAGTACACATACAAAAATCTGCAGTTGAGTTTTCTGTGTACAATGTTCAGTGTTTAGGGAGGTCATGCCCCAGACAAGTATCCCATGTTATGAAAAACCACAGCTTACTCTAAAACTGATAGAAATTGAACTAAAACTAAGCCAAAGTCAAGGTAACAAAAAAAAAAAAAAAACCTGGCAAGAATTTCAAAAGTACTCTTACCCTTTGTCCCCTCCATTACGCGAAGTGCTGTGGTTTATTGATCATTTAAATCATGTAGATAGAAGTAAGGATATTTATACTCTGAGGACTTAAGACTTGACTCGGACTCAGAGTTAAGTGACTGGGTGAAGTTCTACTGATGTGTCAGCAAGGTCTTGTTATGTTCCTGAGCAGCATTACAACTTCCCCAGAGTTAAGTAGAACTCATTCTGCCATGACACTGTAATGATCTCACATGGACCTCAATGTAAGGATGATATTCAGAATGGTCCTATTTTTGTGAGCAGGGAATGGATAAAATAATTTTTAAAAAGCCTTTTAATTTTATGTTCTTTGGTGACAAAGAAAATATCAGCCATTGGCTCATCATAATATTTTTTGGCAGAAGACACTGGCTTTGTCATGTCATGTCATGTCATGTCATGTCGTTAAAGAATTATCCTAAATTACAGAAGATTTTATTTTGAAAAAATATTGGGGACATAACAGAAGAAGAATTTTCCAGAAACTTTTCGGAGTTATCATAAGATGTAACACCTATTTTGAGAAACTTGTCAAGAAAATTTTACTTCTTGCAGTGACAGATAATTTTCATGTGTTGATCAAGAGGTCAACTGTTTGTAGGCTTGGCTGAAAAAGCAGAAGTGCCAGTCTCTCCCAGTCAGTGTTTTGATAAGTTACAGTGTGACCTCTTTACAGGATTGTTTTAATTTGATACCCGCCCAGTTAAACCTCTTTACTGGCAGGACCTAAGCAGGAAGTCTTATTTCCAAGCATTGTATTGTATTGCACTGGTATGTTGAGTACTATTACTTTGTTCTGTGTCCAAAGCACTCAGCCCAAGGCAACAAGAGCTTGTGGGTTCTGAATGTGATGCTCTGTCACATTTTGGTTTTCCGAGGGTAATTAAGAGTAATTAGGAGTGTATGCAAGCTATTGTTAGCAAATAATTAGTACACATGGAGAAGAAGTTTGGCACACTTTACATTTCTTTGCTGAAGCAACACAAAAATTTGCTCCACCTGTTTATGATATAGTGCATTAAAATGTGTTGCAATGACAAATTAAAAAAGAACCTCCTCAAATGCAACAGTTGGTCACCGAACCCCTGCAGATGACATCAAAAACTCTGCAGGAGTAAAGTCAATGTTTATGTTTTGTTTCTGTTGTTTTGTCGTGTACAGACGTACTATGTAAAACATGGCCATAAAGAACCGAGTCAAGCAGTGAAATCTTTTGTGACGTGTTAATCCCTAACTCTGAAGCTCCTGAGATGGCTGGATCAGCTAAGTTGTTTCAGTGCACCTCCCTGGTTCCTAAGGCTGAGTGAGACTCCACACCTGCACTGCATCTACAATCAAGGCCCTTTAAGAAGCCAGCAGCCCTCAGTCTCAGCGCCTGAGTATTGTCTTCACTCCTGAGTGGTACAGATCCTTCTCTTGGTCTTCTCCTCGGATAATTACTCGTGAATTTTTGCTCCCTGTGATCCTTTGTATGTCTTCTCACCTCCTTCTCCTGTGTTTCTCCACAGTGTCTCCAGCTCACACAACAGCCAGCCAGCAAACTGGACTTTCTCTCATGCCTTTTTTCCCTGAGTTGAACGTCAAATACATCTTTAGTTTGCTATCTGCCTCTGGGTCTGCTTCTGGGTCCACAAGATTCACCACATGCCACACCAACAGCACGTACAGTCTGGATTCAATTGTGTAGTGATTTGAAGTTATAATAAATGTCTTAAGATTAATATTTGATAATAATCTTAATTTATAACATTTATACACTCGTTAAAAGGGGTACCACCCACCTTCAATGGTGGAAAAATTAAGAAAAACAAAAGTTTAATTCAGAAATCAAACATTATGTTAATCTTTAATTAATCAATCTCATATCTCAAGCTGAAATTCTTATTTCAGGGACTCCATTTCTGGAAGAACAATAACAGACACGAACTTAGAAAAATAATGATCAGTTCATTACAGGGTAAATACTGATACAACACACGTGCAATAAATGATATTAAGATAATGAGGATAGATAATAACAGATGAATGAAAGATTCTGAGTCAGACTACGATTACTAAAGTTAATGAAAGCGAGCGAAAATGCTCTAACATATGAACCTACATTAACTTTGGTGTAAAGATAAATTTGGATGTGGTTATTTGAATTATGAAGCATGAGACAGCATCAGCCCTGTTTGGAGCTCTGGAGGTTTGGATACTTAAGTGAGGCTGGTCTTTGGAGAGGATGAAGCAGGTTCCGAAGGTCCAGGCCAGCAGTTTGAGAGGTTCAGCTCTGAAGAGGACCAAAGTCAGACAAAGGACAGGCCAGGAGTCACAGCACACAGGCCTGAATGCAAAAACCAGCGTGTTATGTATCCCTTGGATGCTCCTTTAGTCTCACTTAATCTTGAATTGCTATGTGCACAAAAAGTTGTAGTTTCACAACTTGAACTAAGACGATGTTAAAAAAAATCTAACAACGTGAATAAACACATGGCACAAAACTTAAAGACTAAGAAAAAAGTAAGTCAAAGAGAAAACAAGCTAAGAGGGAACTTGACAGGAACAAAAAGAAAAATACAAGCGGGAAAAGCAAGAGCAAGGGGCAAGAGGGCGAGCACCCCAACTTTACTCTTCAAACTGGGAGTGTCTCTAAGGTGTGAGGAGACAAAGGAGGGGGTCCTGATCTCCAGCTGCAGCTCCCTGAGAGGAGACTTTCAAGAGTCCTGATCGTTTGATCCAACTTATACTTTGGCTAGTAAAGGGGTCAGATCGAATATTCAATCACTATGATTAATGTTAAGGAATGCTTGGTTCATAATAAAGGATCTGATGCTAAACACATATAAAGAATTGTAAAATCACATTAACGAACATTCTCATTATGCTTTGAGTATCACTTTTCAAAGAACATTGATCATGTTAAATTACTCTGAGATGAAACAGATAGTAACACATAGAAACTGTGAATAACACAAGGGTAAACAAATGTAAATGAACTTCATAACAGTTAATCATGGATTCTACAAACCAACATTCATATTATTAACTAACAGTATAACTACCTTATGGTCAACAAAGCTAAACAAATGATTAAGAGATAAACTAAACATTTCTACACTATTCCTACTAGAATAGGGTTGTAATTCAAACATAATAACTTCAGCTCTTAAAAGTTCATGAAACAGTTTGGAAAGCTGTTAATCTCAAGGAACTTTCGGACTGAAGGATTTATTGATTCAGTGTGAGATCTTGGCTTGTGAACATGATAGGCAGATGGGACAAAGACTGTTTTACTGCACATGTTGAGCACTGACAGAAGATCATGGTGTAGTGTCCATCCAACCTGTAATTGAACTAGTTGTAGTTATTCTCTTTGGACTGTACTCACAGAGAGTACAGGGAAGATCAACCAAATTTAGGATTTATGGCTGAGCTGGTAAACCTGGCACTTCCTAGTCAAGGTGTGATGACAGATGTTTATCTGATCTATCTGATCGAGTGGTCCTGCAGTTCTTTCCTGCTGGCCATAAACAGTGTCTTTGTCTCTTTGAAGTGGAAAGGATAGAAGGTTGGTTCTTTTGGAAAGGCTTCTTTGGTTATCTTGTATAGAGACAGGATGTTGTAGAAGGGTGGTGATTTGGTGTTAAAGGTTTACACCATCTTTTCTCCGGTGAGCAGATGTAGGCCTTACATTCTTTTGGGGGTTGGGGTGCGAAAGTGATCGTCTCTGCTACAATTGGTAGCTTTGAACAAAACTCTACTTCTACCATTTTAGTAAATGACCATTTTGCACAGATCGCAATTGGCTGTTGAACTGTTTTCACCATCTAGGTCAAAATATTTGATACTGCTTATGTTTCAAACATTCAATTACCACATTTGCCCCATGACAGATTCTGACAGTAAAGAATGCAAAAATAAACAGGCCCATGCATGGATGCAACAGATGTGAAACTGATAAGCAGAAAAGAGGAGAGAGAAGAGTTCAAAATGCCAATGTTTAGTTGTTGTTTTTTTGACTTTGCTGGGAATAGAATTAATTTGTTTAATATCTTTTAAACTAAATGGTTTGTGGAACAGTACTGCTGCAGATGTCATATTGTTTATGGTCATTAGCTCAGCTTTAGTTGAAACTTGGAGAGGTTATTTCACTCTGTGATAATTAAAAGAATGTCTTTGACAGGATGAGTTATTTTGTGGTATACACCAAGGTGTGTTTATCTTTGTTTGCATGATTTGCTTTGAAAACTCAACACTGCTCCTGCCTCGCATCGCAAATGAACACTAATCCACGTTCATATAATTTTATACATGTGCAATCTGGAATTTGTTTTACTTTGACATGAACGAATCTGTGTTTAGTTGAAGGTATTTTAATATGTTTGTTTTTTGGTGTAATTAGTACTAATGTTTCTCAAATTTTCCTCCATTTAAAGGACATCATGTTTAACAGGCCAAAAAAATGTATTACGAGCTACATTTAAAGAAATCAGGTTACTGCAGAAAAAAAGACAGCTTTGGTAAAACATTGTTCAAGTTGTAGTTGACATTAAAACAAGGTCAATTTTCATTTGCACTATAATAGCATTAGCTGAAGTAAGATTGCACAGTGTCAAGTTACTTCTCTCAAATTGTTCTGATACTTAAGCTAAAACGCATTAATAATTCATAAAAAGAGCAGTCATCAAGGGTTGTTTTCAGCAGCACTTGGTGTTTCCTGGACACCAAAAATTCATTTATCTTGAAATGGATTTTTGAGGGTCAATCAAAATAGAAACAAAACAGATCATCACTCTTTTATTGACAGATTTTTAGGTGAAAGAAACTAGTTGGGTGAACAGCTACTAAAGAACAAGGACAGTGTGTTCTCAGTTTTTGCCAACTGGGACGGAGACACCCTACGTGACAAATTCAAGAACAGTCATTGAACTTATTTTTAGATGGTTAATCCTCTCTGAGATCTATTATGCCATGACTCATGATTCTGATGACCTAGAGCAAAAAGCCTCAGTAACACAGAGCATACAGGGGAAGTCTGATCAGGGTATACGATATTTTTCTTTGACTGTGAAAACTTGCACAACTGGGAAGAGTTATGAAAGATCTATTCTTTATAATCTGGTGTTGCTTTAACCTGATGGATGATTTCTGTCAGCACAATGAATAAGGAGTTACATTCCTTAATGAGCAAAAATTAAGTTTATACCTGTTTTTATGACACACTATTTCCAAACTTTGGTAATTTCAGTCAAGAGTGATAGTGTCAAAGACTGTAATGTCTGTACCTTACTCTGCTGTTATTGGCATACAAGGTTAGCCTGTCTTAAAGAAATATGCACAGTACACATACAAAAATCTGCAGTTGAGTTTTCTGTGTACAATGTTCAGTGTTTAGGGAGGTCATGCCCCAGACAAGTATCCCATGTTATGAAAAACCACAGCTTACTCTAAAACTGATAGAAATTGAACTAAAACTAAGCCAAAGTCAAGGTAACAAAAAAAAAAAAAAAAAACTGGCAAGAATTTCAAAAGTACTTTTACCCTTTGTCCCCTCATTATGTGAAGTGCTGTGGTTTATTGATCATTTAAATCATGTAGATAGAAGTAAGGATATTTATACTCTGAGGACTTAAGACTTGACTTGGACTCAGAGTTAAGTGACTGGGTGAAGTTCTACTGATGTGTCAGCAAGGTCTTGTTATGTTCCTGAGCAGCATTACAACTTCCCCAGAGTTAAGTAGAACTCATTCTGCCATGACACTGTAATGATCTCACATGGACCTCAATGTAAGGATGATATTCAGAATGGTCCTATTTTTGTGAGCAGGGAATGGATAAAATAATTTTTAAAAAGCCTTTTAATTTTATGTTCTTTGGTGACAAAGAAAATATCAGCCATTGGCTCATCATAATATTTTTTGGCAGAAGACACTGGCTTTGTCATGTCATGTCATGTCATGTCATGTCGTTAAAGAATTATCCTAAATTACAGAAGATTTTATTTTGAAAAAATATTGGGGACATAACAGAAGAAGAATTTTCCAGAAACTTTTCGGAGTTATCATAAGATGTAACACCTATTTTGAGAAACTTGTCAAGAAAATTTTACTTCTTGCAGTGACAGATAATTTTCATGTGTTGATCAAGAGGTCAATTGTCTGTAGGCTTGGCTGAAAAAGCAGAAGTGCCAGTCTTTCCCAGGCAGTGTTATGGTAAGTGACAGTATGACCTCTTTACAGGATTGTTTTAATTTGATACCCACCCAATT